CACGACAGGGATGTCCACTCTCACCACTGTTGTTTAACATAGTGCTGGAAGTCCTAGCATCAGCCATCAGACAACAAAAGGAAATCAAAGGCATCAGAATTGGCAAAGAGGAAGTCGAACTTTCCCTCTTCGCAGACGACATGGTACTCTACATAGAAAACCCGAGAGACTCCACCAGAAGCCTACTAGAACTGATCCAAGAATTCAGCCAAGTTGCAGGGTTCAAAATCAACGTACAGAAATCGGTTGCATTTTTATACACCAACAATGAAGCAACAGAAAGAGAAATCAAGAAACTGATCCCATTCACAATTGCGCAAAAAACCGTAAAATACCTAGGAATAAACCTAACCAAGAATACAAGAGATCTTTATGATGAAAACTATAAAAAACATAGGAAGGAAATTGAAGAAGACACAAAGAAATGGAAAAACATTCCAAGCTCGTGGATTGGAAGAATAAATATAGTTAAAATGTCATTCCTACCCAAAGCAATCTACACATTCAATGCAATCCCAATCAAAATTGCACCAGCATTCTTCTCAAAACTAGAACAAACGATCCTAAAATTTGTAAGGAACCACAAAAGACCCCAAATAGCCAATGTAATATTGAAGAAGAAAACCAAAACGGGAGGCATCACCATCCTAGACTTTCACTCTACTACAAAGCTGTCATCATCAACACAGTATGGTGTTGGCACAAAAACAGACACATAGACCAATGGAAGAATTGAGAACTCAGAATTAGACCCAAAAGTATATACCCAACTAATCTTTGACAAAGCAGGAAAGAATATCCAATGGAAAAAAGACAGCCTCTTTAACAGATGGTGCTGGGAGAACTGGACAGCAACATGCAGAAGAATGAAACTAGATCATTTTCTCACACCATACACAAAGATAAACTCAAAATGGAGAAAGGACCTGAATGTGAGACAGGAAACCATCAAAACCCTAGAGGAGAAAGCAGGAAACAACCTCCTTGACCTCCTCAGCAGCAACTTCTTACTTGACACATCCCCAAAAGCATGGGAATCAAGAGCAAAAATGAACTATTGGGACCTCATCAAGATTAAAAGCTTCTGCACAGCAAAGGAAACAATCCATTATACTAACAGGCAACCGACAGAATGGGAAAAGATAGTTGCAAATGACATATCAGATAAACGGTTAGTATCCAACATCTATAAGGAACTCACCAAACTCCACACCCGAAAAGCAAATAATCTAGTGAAGAAATAGGCAGAAGATATGAACAGACACTTCTCCAAAGAGGACATCCAGATGGCCAACAGACACATGAAACTATGCTCAGCATCCCTCCTCATCAGGGGAATACAAATCGAAACCACCCTGAGATACTGCCTCATCAGTCAGAGTGGCTAAAATGAGCAAATCAGAGGACTCTAGATGCTGGCGAGGATGTGGAGAAATGGGCACCCTCCTACACTGTTGGTGGGAATGGAAACTGGTGCAGCCCCACTGGAAGACAGTGTGGAGGTTCCTCAAAAAATAACAATAGAACTCCCCTATGACCCAGCAATAGCACTGCTGGGAATTTACCCAAGGGATACAGAAATGCTGATGCATAGGAGCACATGGACCCCAATGTTCATAGCAGCACTCTCAACAATAGCCAAACCATGGAAAGAGCCTAAGTGTCCATCAACGGACGAATGGATCAAGAAGATGTGGTTTATCTATACCATGGAATACTACATGGCAATGAGAAAGAATGAAATCTGGCCACGTGTAGCAACATGGATGGACCTTGAGGGTGTCATGCTGAGTGAAATAAGTCAGGCAGAGAAGGACAAATACCATATGTTTGCATGTATAGGAGGATTAGGAAGAATTTAACGGAGGACCATGGGGGAGAAGAAGAGGGAAAACAGTGGGGGAGAGGGAGAGAGGCAAACCATGAGAGACTCTTGAATGCTGAGAAGAAACTGAGGACTGAAAGGTGTGGTGGGCGAGGGGGGAGATGGGCATGGAGGAAAGCACTTGTGGGGATGAGCACTGGGTGTTATATGGATAGCACCTTGACAATAAACTATTCAAAAAAAAGTGAAGTTTCATGACCTTTGCTTACATAGAATATCTGACGGAATTAAGAAAAATGCTACTAGAATTAATGAATGAATTCATTATGGCATCTGGGTGACTCAGTCCATTGAGTGTCTGACTCCTGATTTCAGCTCAGGCTATGATTCCAGAGTAATGGAATCGAGCCCTTTGTCGGGCTTGCACTGAGCATGGAGTCTGCTTAAGTTTCTCTCTCTCTCTCTCTCTCTCTCTCTGAACCTCTCTGCAGCTCATGCACTCTCTCTAAAATTAAATATATATATAAATTTATCAAGGTTGGAGGATACAGAATCACTATATAAAAATCAACTGTATTTCTATGTATTAGTTATAAAGAATCAAAAATTAAAATATAGGGGCACCTGGTAGCCCAGTGGGTTATGCGCCAGACTCCTGCTCAGGTCATGATCTCACAGTTGGTAAGTTCAAGCCCCACACTGGGCTCTGTACTGACACCTTGGAGCCTGGAGCCTGCTTTGGATTCTGTTTCCCTCGCTCCCTGCCTCTTCCCCACTCATGCTCTGTCTCTCTCTCTTTCTCTCAAGAGTAAACATTAAAAGACCACCAGACTTCTTCATTTTTATTTTTATAAACTGACAAGCTGATTCAAAAATTCATGTGGAAATGCAAAGGATCCAGAGTAGCAAAAGAACCCTGAGAAATAACAAAGCTAGAGGACTAACACTACCTGATTTCAAAAATTATTCTAAACTGGTAGTAATTAAAACAGCATAATATTGGTACAAAGATGGCCAAAGAGATTAATGGGACAGAAAAGAGCCCATAAATAAACCCACACATAAATGGTTAACTGATTATAACAAAGGAACAATGGCATAAAGTGGAGAAAACATAGCCTTTTCAAGAAAACGGTGCTGGAACAACTGGATATCCATATGCAAAAGAACAAACTTGGATCCATACTTTGTATCAAAAATAAAAAAGAATATAAAATCAATCATAGATCTAAATTTAAGACCTAAAACTATAAAACTTCTAAAACCATGAGAGAAAATCTTTGTGACCTTGTGCTAGGGAAAGATTTCTTAGGTATGAAAACCAAAAGCAACAATCATAAAAGAACAAATGCATAAACTGTACTTCATCAAAAAGAAAAACTGCTCTTCAAAAACACTGTTGAGAGAATGCAAAGTCACAGACTGGGAGAAGAAAAACCCTGCAAAAAATAGAGGTGATAAAGGAACTGCATCTAGCTCTTTCTGCCATCTCTCCATGCCATCATAATGATGCATATGAATGTCATGGCAGATACTCTCAAAAGCGTAACAATATTGGGGCGCCTGGGTGGCTTAGTCGGTTAAGCGTCCGACTTTCGCTTAGGTCATGATCTCTTGGTTTGTGGGTTCGTGCCCCGTGTCNGGGCTCTGTGCTGACTGCCTGCTCAGAGCCTGGAGCCTGTTTCAGTCTGTGACTCCCTCTCTCTCTGACCCTCCCCTGCTCACGCTGTCTCGCTCTCTCTCTCCTAGAAATAAATTTAAAATTAAAAAAAAAAAAAAAAGCATAACAATATTGAAAAGACAGGCAAATGTAGGCCACACTCCAAAGGCATCATCCACTTTTTAACTGTGATGATGAAGCATGGTTGTTACACTGGTGAATTGAAATCATTGATGGTCACAACGTTGGGAAAATTGTTATGAACCTTACAGGCAGGTTAAGCAAACATGGAGTGATTGGCCCCAGAATTGATGGACAAAGCAAAGATCTAGAAAAATGGCAGAATAATCTGCTCACTTTGGTTTCATTGTACTGACAACCTCAGCTGCAATCACAAACCATGAAGAAGCAAGATGAAAACACACAGGAGGGAAAATCATGGGATTCTTTTTCTAGGGAGGTAATACATACATACAAATAAAATGTCTCAGTGGACCAAAAAAAAAAACCCCCCAAAAAACAGGAACTATGTCTAGAATATAAAAAGAATTCTGAAAACTCAACAAGTAAGAAAACAAACCTAATTTTTAAAATGACAAAAGATTTGGACAATTCAAAGAAGATATACAGAGGGCAAACACGCACATGAAAATCTGCTCAACATCATCAGTTATTAAGGAAATATATATTAAAACCATAATGATATATAAACTACATTATCATTCAGAATGGCTAGGATTTAAAAAGCTAACAATACTAAGTGTTCATGAATGTATATGGAGGAATTGGTGGTGGGAATGACAAATGGTACAACTACTTTAGAAAACAATTTGGCAGCTTCATAATAAGGGAATATAAAGGGCCATGAAACTTTTAAGGGTGATGAATATGTTAATTGTCTGGATTATGGTTATCGTTCAATACGTGTATACATATGTCAAAACTATCAAATGATAAACTTCATATATGTGCAGTTTATCTAACTACAGCGGTTGGAAGCAAAAAGCTCTCTTACATCTAAAACAGTGGATAAGACACAGATGGAAAGTAGGATGTAAAACAATACATGATGAAGCTAGAGGACTGTGGCCTTTAACCTTATAGCAATGAGAAGTAACAGCTAAGCTTTAAGCCAGGGGGTAACATGATGAAATATAAATTTTTAAAAATATATAACAATTATGGTGGCAGTGTAGACCAAGGTTCTGGGAGGTGGAATGGCAGGGAAAACAGCCCTGAGGTTATTTCAGTAATCTAGGAGAAAAATAATGACCTGACCTTGGGTGAAGGCACAGAAGAGAAGCAGAGTTAAGAAACACATGAGATGTGCCTGAGAAAAGTACACTGGAAATTATGACTCTTTGGCTGAGAGTATACAACAGTTCTCATTTTATTTTAATATAAAACATATTTCTGAGATGAGCAGCTCTACACTATATCAGTGTTCTATGGTGCAGTACTAGACAAGGTGTGCACATATTACTATAGCAACATACATAAAAAAAGTCTTCCTACCTTTACAGTCCATGCCAAGTTGTTCAATTAGCAACTTGAAATACTCGTAATTAGAGTAAGGCAACTCACAATCCTCTGAAGCTTCAGTTTTAGAGGAGTGACTGAAGTCATCAAAGTCATCCATAGAATTAATCTGCTTTTTGACCTACAAATAAATAATGTTCCCCAAATATTTACAAAATATACCAAGTATAGAGAAGTGATAAAGACCCATTGTTTTATAAAAGCATAGACAGGAGCACTTAGGTGACTCAGTCGGTGGAGCATCTGACTCTATTTTGGCTCAGGTCATAACCTCATGGTTCCTGAGTTTGAGTTCCACGTTGACCTCCATGCTGACAGCACGGAGCCTGATTGGGATTCTCTTTCTCCCTCTCCCTGTGCCCCTCCCCCATGTGTGCGTGCTCTCTCTCAAAATACATTTTAAAAAGAGGTCAATAAACATTTAAAAGCAAAACCATAGGTACTTTTTAAAAGAACTGATTTTTGCAGAGAGAGAGGGAGACACAGAATCTGAAGCAGGCTCCAGGCTCCGAGCTGGCTGTCAGCACAGAGTCACTGTGCTGGGCTCAAACTCACGAACAGCAAGATCATGACCTGAGCTGAAGTCAGACTCTTAACTGACTGAGCCACTAAGGCACGCCAAAACTTTATATGTGAAGCACATCCTTCATACTACAAATACATACATTTGTATATACATTTGTACATACATTCAGTCTGACAATTTTAGCATTTTACTTGGAACATTTAGTATATTGACATTGAATGTAATTACTAAAAGATGTAAATTACTATCTACTAGATTACTGTTTATTTCCATTTGACCAATCTCCTTATATTCTTTATTTTTATGTTTTATTTACTTTTGAGAGACAGAAAGAGAGAGAGAGAGAGCATGATCATGGGAGGGTCAGAGAGAGAGGGAGATGCGGAACTGAAGCAGGCTCCAGGCTCTGAGCCCTCAGCACAGAGCCCAGTGAAGGGCTCGAACCCATGAACAGTGGGATCATGACCTGAGCCGAAGTCGGACACTTAACTGGCTAAGCCACCCAGGTGCCCCAAATTCTTATATTATTGTACTCTCATTTCTTACCTTTTTTTCTTTTCAAGTAATATTTGATTATTTGTTTAATAAACGTTTATTATTTCACACTGTCCCTCTATTAGCTTATTAGTTATACTTCTTTGGAAGTGATCTTAGAAATTACAATATATATCTTTAATTACATTCTAATAGGAATTATTAGATCTGACTAGTCCTTTCAATGCTAGAAACTTAGATATTTAAAATCTATTATCTCCCTTCCAAATTTTTTTATTTGATATACATTTTAATTCATATGTATTTTAAAACCCACAAGAGAAAACATTATCATTCCTTTGTCCAAGTAGTATTTATTTGTATTTATCCACATATTAACAATTTATTACTGTTCTTTTTCCTGTGTTTGCTTATTTATATCTGGGATTCTCCTCTATATGAAGAAATTCTTAGTGCACCTTTATTGTTAACAAATTCTCTTAGACTTTGTTTCTTGCTGTCTTTTTTAGCAATAAAATTTGAAGGATAATTTTGCTAGATATGTCATTGTAGGTTGACAGGGTTATTTGGAAGCTTATTTGTTATTTTGGCATATTAAAGTGTTCTATTGTTTTCTAACTTAAATTTTTTTATGCTGAAAAGTTAGCTGTTAGTCTTTTTTTGCTCCTTTTTACCTGTAGGTAATGTGTACTTCGCTTTTAAGACTTTCATTTGTTTTTTGGGGCGCCTGGGTGGCTCAGTCGGTTAAGCGTCCAACTTCGTCTCAGGTCATGATCTCACAGTTCGTGGGTTTGAGCCCCACATCGGGCTCTGTGCTGACAGCTAGCTCAGAGCCTGGAGGCTGCTTCAGGTTCTGTATCTCCTTCTCTCTCTGACCCTCCCCTGCTCACACTGTCTCTCTCAGAAATAAATAAAACATTAAAAAATAATAATAATAAAAAAATAAAAGAACTGATTTTTATCAAAAGCTAGTATTTCTAAGTAACTTTTTCACAGAAAATGTCCCTACAACAAAGGAAGATTTTCTATTTTTTCACTATACCTTTCATAAAATTTTTACCACAGAATATTTCTAATAAATATTATTTATCAAAATAATATACTAAAAATAAATAACAAAATTATATTATATATTTTTTTACCTTGTTCTTTTTATTAGAAATCTTCTTTGCAAGTCTGAAATAAAACAAACAATCCTTTTCAGGCAAATATTAAATTCTTAAAATAGAGAGAATATCTAAACCTATTGTTTATGACTAAAATCTCTGCATTTGGAACTAACTTTCTACGAAGGGGATTAAACGATAGAGTAACATTAAAAATACAGAAAATATAATAATATTAACAAAGGATTAGACATATCTAATTTTAGTACATGTGGTAGGGAAAGGAGCACAACAAAGTACTAAATTTAGATCAAAACTAAAAAAAAGTTGGGGCGCCTAGGTGGCTTAGTCGGTTAAGCATCTGACTTTCGCTTAGGTCATGATCTTGCGGTTCGTGGGTTCGAGTCCCGCGTCGGGCTCTATGCTGACTGCCAGCTTAGAGCCTGGAGCCTATTTCAGAGTCTGTGTCTCCCTCTCTCTCTGACCCTCCCCTGCTCACGCTGTCTCTCTCTCTCTCCTAGAATTAAATAAAAATATTTTTTAAAAAATTAAAAAATTTTAAAAAAACTAAAAAAAGCAAAGGAAAATCATAATGCTACTTGTATTATTTGATAGGAATGATATCATTTTGTTGTTGTTGTTGTCATTTTCAATAAAAATAAGCTTCTACTGGCATTAAAACCTATTTGGAAAGTGCAAGTTAAGTCCCTATATGAAGGAAACCCCTTTCTAACAATCATGATATTAACGTGTTGAAGACTTGCTATGCAACTACTATCTATGCACTATTATGAGCACTTTATATGTCTTAAAGGTATTTTAAGCCTCACAATAATCCTATGAAGATTATTATATTAGATGTATTTTACATAGGAAGAAAATGAGGCACAGAAAGTCTAAGTAACTTGCCCAAGTCCATACAGCTGGTCAAAAGCAGACCCTGTATTCAAACCCAGAAAGTGTGCCTTCAAAGCATGTGTTTTATAATATGTGGTGAAAATAATAGTTAAGTGTTTCTAAGTAATAGATAAGCAAATAAATCTGTATAATTATTCTATTTCTAGCTATAGTTATACATAAAAATTTCTGAATCTTATACATCTTTTTTTTAAATTTTTTTAAATGTTTTTATTTTTTGAAAGACAGAGAGACAGAGGGCGAGCAGGGGAAGGATAGAGAAAGGAGGAGACACAGAATCCAAAGCAGACTCTAGGCTCTGAGCTGTCAACACAGCGCCCAACGTGGGGCTTGAACTCACAAATGGCAAGATCATTTATTTCTGACAGAGAGAGAGAGACAGTGTGAGCAGGGAAGGGTCAGAGAGAGAGAGGGAGACAAAGAATCTGAAGCAGGCTCCAGGCTCTGAGCTGTCAGCACAGAGACCGACGCAGGGCTCGAACCCACAAACTGTGAGATGATGACCCGAGCCGAAGTCAACCGCTTAACTGAGCCACCCAGGTGGCCCTTATACATCTTCTTTTAAATAAAAAGACTTTATACCTAAGCAATATTGGAAATCTACTTTCAACAACCTAAAGATTTGCTTCTTCTAGAGAAGTTCATCAATAGGCATTCAGTCATTTATTCAACTGTTTATTCCCACATTGAACACATACTTACTGAGCAAACAATCTGTGTCAATGACACTGTTGGTACAGAAAGCATGGTTTTTGTAATTTAGAGCTTTATAATCCCAAAGTAATAATCTGTTATGGATTATTAGTTTATTTTCCATTGTAAATAAACAAAATCTTCCCCTTTCCCCAGAATCTAAACAAATATTAACAATATAACCAGATACTTTAAAGTCCCTAACAAAATCATAGCTATTCGTGATACTATCAAAGGCACTGAATATCTAAAATCATCAAGGAATGAACAGCTCTATTCAGAATGGCCTAAGTGTGTATATATATATGTGTTTTTTAATCTGCACATTCAATTATATGAGAATACCCCATTATGGAGCCAATTCTGAATAAATAACTTATTCCACAAAACAACATGAATAGGAGTACTAAGCACAATTACTATCATCTTTAAAAGATAATGTAATACAATCAACAAGCTTTCTAAATATGGAAATGCAAACAAAATTAAATAAAATAACCATGTTTATCTCTACTGATCATTTCCAACAGAATACAAACATACTCTAAAAGCTTCCATCTTAAAATAGAGAAAGAAAATGCCTTTGCATTCCACATTCTTTTGCAGTTATCATCCATTTCTCTATGACCTTTCCCAATTAAAATGCTCGAAGGAATTGTTTACACTTAATTATCACAGTCCTGCTTCCATGGTAACTACTGAAATTGCTCCTTATCAAAGTCACTTACCCTCATCTTAACTTTTTAAGCAGCGTGTTTGATAGTGTTAAGTATTTCTGCTTGTACCTACCAACACTACAGCATTTTATTTCCACAAAAGGTAATCACTGCTAAAATTCCTTCACAGGGAAATAAAAAATTTATAGATTTCCTGATTCTTTTCACTTAAACTGCTATCATCATTCATTTGCAGTAGGCCACCAGTGTGGGAATAGGCCTTCTCAAACACTGGTGTAATCACAGATTTGTTGATGTCCATTCTTCATTTTCATCTTTCTTTAACTTCTTCATATGCAAATCAGGGTCACTACTTTAAAAAAATCTGCTACAAATACATAAAAAGCCAATGGTTTCTAATAATTTTACTGACAAATAATATAAAGACAATTTTCATAAAATTCAGAATTTTACCATGACTTAATTTATTAATTCACAGAACAGTTATGAAGTACCAACCATATATAAGGAAATACACATCTGTTGTTTCAAACACAGATAAACACACAATTATAATACAATGTGATTTGAAAGCGTTGACATATGAGAAGCTGTAAGTGAGGACAAGAAAGGCTTTATTGAACAGGGAAAATAAACAGGAGAGGTCATCAGGAAAAGAAATGGGAGAAAACCATTTTCTTAGAGATTAGAATGTGAGCACAAAGATTACATAGATGACATCTAGGTGCCCTGAAAGGGAAAGTATAAACTTTTAGGAACTTGGAAAAAAAAGCATAAAATACATGGAAGCAAGTAGGAAGAGATCAGTCAGGAAAGAAATTCTGAAGAACCTTGAATAGTACACTAAAAAGTTAGAGTTCTCTGCCTAAAGGCAGTGACTCTTAGACATGGGAGTAATAATTAGATTTGAGCTATAGTTTTGGTTTTGCTTTTAAATATAAAAATGCTTAATTTAAACAAAGTTGTAAAATAGCATGAGGTCCATAAAACATGAAAGAAGTAGTCAGGGAAATATCTTAGGGGAAAACTACTTTTAAAATATCCATATGTCAGAGTGATATCAGTATCCTAGATGAGTAAGATGTACCTTGTTGTGTCCCCCCCACCTTTAACAAACTGGCATCTATTCATCCACAGACAAAACTGCCTTTGCAGGAGCTGTGGGATCTAGCACCATATACTAAAGGACCTAGGAAAAGTCTTGCCTACCTTTATACCAGGTAACAGTCATACATACTACAGGCTAAGCTGTGGACCTAGCAATAGCCCATAAACTGCCTCCAGCCCCGCCCTCTCGGCCACATCTCAGAGTCCCTAGAAAACACTGTCTAAGATAATCATCGATGGATAAGAGAGCCTTTTTGGAAAAGTAGGTTTCCTGCAAAGAATTTCCAGCACACTACTGGAGCAAAAAAATCAGGCTTGGATACACTGATGAGGTAGTCATTAAAGACTAGAGGAGGTGACTGCTACTTCAAATGCCAAGACAACAATGTAAATTGCAAAGAATATAAAATATCAAGGAAATATGATACCACCAAAGGATCACAATAATCTTCCAGTAATTAATCCAAAACACATGGAGATCTGGAGATCTGTAATTGATTCAAAAGAGAATTCAAAATAGCAGTTTTAAGGAAACGCAATGAACTATAAGAAAACACAAAAAGCTAATCCAATAAAATCAGAAAAATACTATATAAATAAAATGAGATGTTTAACAAAGAGCTGGAAATAGTAAAAAATAACTAAGCAAAAATCCTGGAGCTGAAGAGTATAATGAATGAAATTGAAAAAAGCAAGAGTGATAACTGACAGGAAAATGCATCAAGCAAAAAAAAATTAATTTAAAAAAAATCTGTGAATTTAAAGACAGGGACTTTCAAATTATCCAAACAGAAAGTAAAATAAATAAATAAACAAAAAGAGTGAAGAAAGACTATGTGATTATAAGTAAACCTTCATAACGCCATTAGCAATTTCTCTGCAGAAACCTTACAGGCCAGGAGAGAGTGGGATTACACAGAGTGCTGAGAAAAAAGACTACCAATCAAGAATACTTTACTCAGCAAAATTATCCTTCAGAAATCAATCAAATAAAATAAATAAATTTGATACACCACATTAGCAGAATAAAAAAACTAGATGATCATCCGAATATGTGCAGAAAAAGCATTTGACAAAATTCAACATCTTTTCATAATAAAAACTAACTAAATAAATAAAAACTAAATAAAAAAATAAAATATAAAGTAGGTACTGAGTTATCACACCCGAACATAATGAAGTCCAATATGACAAACCTATAACTAACATCATATGCAGTGGTAAAAAACTGAAAGCTTTTACTCTAAGTTCAAGAACATGGCAAAGTAGCCCACTTTACCACCCCTATTCAACATGATACTGGAAGTCCTAGCCAGAGCAGTCAGGCAAGAAAAAGAAATAAAAGGCATCTAAATCAGAAAAGAAGAAATAAAACTGTCTTTGTTTGCAGATGATATGATCTTATGTATAGATAATCCTGAAGATACGACCAAAAGGCTGTTAGAACTAGTAGAGATGAAGGATACAAAATCAACATAAAGATGCAGGAGTGCCAAAAACTCGTTGGGATGAGCACTGGGTGTTATGCGGAAACTAATTTGACAATAAACTATTTGTAAAAAAAAAAAAAAAAAAAAAGATGCAGGAGTGCCTGGGTGGCTCAGTCAGTTAAGCTTCTGACTTCAGCTCAGATTTTGATCTCTGGTTTGTGGTTCAAGCCCCTCTTCGGGCTCTG